AATCAGTTCCTGGGCACGCCATTTTGCTTAATCTTAAGCTTTGACCTTCAAAGCTAGCTTCTACAGGTGTGACGACAGTAGACATCACACGCATCTATACGGTGTCATTTAGCTGGATTTATCGGGTAAGCAAATAAATTCCAGGGTACCACGTTTTGCATGACTTTCACCTTTAACCTGGTGAGGGGAATTCATTCCGCAAAAGTGACACAAAAGTGAGCATGATGAACATAAATATGACACCTTCCAGAGTGGACGAATGAATCGGATGAAATAGAAACCAGGCCGCGCCAGTCCGCGGCCATATCGTGGCGACAGCTAAGAAACGGAGCGATGATCGGTCACAGCTGTGGGCGTATTTTAACCTTAGGCAGTGGTCAGACGTTGCTGCCGGCGCCGCCTCTCGGCACTGAATCGGCGCCGGATACAGGCGGCGGCTGGACACCAGTCGCTGGTCCGAAGGCTGAGGGAACCTGCCGAGTTATCTCTGCGGCCGAGGGGAAGGTGCGCGGCTCTGCGGCTGAGGCGCCAGCCGCTGGTCCGTAGGCTGAGGAAACTTGTTGGGATGCTTTCGGAACATGTGGGAGGGCGCCTGGTTCGGGAGCTTTAGCACCGGCCGCTGGTCGATAGGACGTGAGATTCTTCGGGGCCGCCTCCGTGGCCGGTGAGTAGGCGGCGAGCTCAGGAGCTGCAGGACCGGCAGCTGGGGAGGAAACAGTCGCATGGGACACGGAGTATGTATGACGTGTGCAAGGTTACCTGCCAAATTCAGAGTACAACCAAGAAAACGTGCATGAGTTGTTGCCTAGAGTAACGTTGCACAGCGAGGTGCAACGTTACGTCCTGATGCGGAATACGAGAGGATTTAGGTATTTTACCTGACAGATGAGCCTTGTTCCGCCGTCCGACAGCATGGGAGCCAAGCAAAACTGGACAGCAATCGATGTGTTGGGAGCTGTTTAATATTTAAGAGGTCCAAAGGTCAAAAGGCCAGATCGAAGCAGAAGCTCATCCGTTTGGGTCGGAGGACAAAAGCAAACAAGCCGGTCGATGAGGGCTGACAAACGTGTTTATTGTACAAACGTGTTTATTGCACGTTAAACGTGTTTGTTGTACACTACATACTGGTTTGCTTTGCAAGCCAGCGCACTACAGTGCAAAATGCGCTCGATTAAATGCAAACAATGTGCACTGCATAACATTGTGCACCAGGGTGCACAATTCTCATCAGGCATATTTTGCGGTGGATTTACCGAGCAAATTATTTCGGAGGGGGTGGCTCTATAGGAGAGTGTTTTTATGCAGGGCCCAAATAATAAAACAAAAGGATCGGTACAGTCGTGTATCGGGGCGGCCCAGCGACGCGCAATACTTTACAGACGTGGCACGGTCTGTTGTTGGCGAGGAATCTGCTGCCGTGAATACCATTCAAAAAGACCGAACAGTGCCACCAAATTTCGAATCAAACCGCGAGTAAGCAATTGGGAACCCGATATTGCACATAAAAATATAGTCGACAAGATGGAAAACAACTAAACGACACCTCTTGCGCCACCAGACGTGCGCAGGGACTCTCAAAGGGACGGGATTGGCTGGGCAAAGCCCTCAATTCTCACCCATCGCCTGTGTCGCACGCTGGGATCCATGCTCGCCTTCCAGTCTCCCCATCATGGCTTCGACCCTTGCCGAGACAGAGTTGATGGTAAGCTCCATCTGATCCACCCGGTGGGTAAGTCTGTGGCCAAGGTTAAGTGGCTGTCAGCTAGAAGTTGTGAGCTGTGACAGATCAAAAGAGAAGCAATACATTTATTGGCCTAGGGTCAGGAGTAAATAACAAGCATTGCTTAGCGCTGTCACTAATCACGGGTGTCTATCAAATCAAAAGGTTCGGAATGCATCTTAAAACAAGAGACAGGCACACTCACGCCCCAAATTGTTCTGGACTGACGCCGCCGTATCCCTCGTAGGCGTTACTCGGCCGAGATCGGCGACTGGACGCCCGTCTTTCAATGTCATCTGCAGGTCGGGGTAAGGTCAAAGGACATGGTCCAGGTGAACAGGAGCCAGGGGCCTGGCAGGTGTCTTGAGGTCTGACTAAAAAGGGACATGACCGGGGGTGCAGTTTCGCAAGGTAAGATGCTGGGGAGTGCAAGATGGCTAACCCTACCCCAAAATACGCCAAAGACGGCTTCTTTCCGGACTTGCCGCAATTCATTTGGGGGGGGGGGGGGTTGGAGCACCCCAAATCGTCATACAGCTCAGGTAGAAGGACAAGAATCAAGGGATGCATTACCGTAATCGTCGAAGTCATCGTAATATTCATCGTCCATCGACTCTGACGAGTATTCTTCTCGTTCCTCATCGCCATCACCCTCCCCTCCCCGATGGTGTTCGGCAGGCGCAGCAGAGTCGCGCAGCTGAGCAGCGGCCGCCTCCCGGGATATGTCACCGAACACGATGGTATGCAGGCGGTCAACTGAAGGTAAAGGGAAGAATGGGTATCCTTGTTTATTTTCATGTCATGTTTTATCACACCATTATACAACTCCCAGCATATCGTACACACCAAAGCACTACTATGCTAACGTGGTCCCGTGTAGCGCGTGGCCCGTGCAGATCTTGACTGACAGGCCCTGCACTTCAGCAGTCCGCCAGCCCATCAAATATCCGTCTCGAATTTACGAGCCCATGAACACATTATTATACTCATCCGAAGAGATGGGAAGAAGAAAAATAGGCCTGAAACTGTCATTGCACGACGGCAAACGACAATGGCTATCCACTGCCATCTCTAGCTTTAGCCTCTGTACATGGTGTTTATTTCAGCACTACAAAACAGCGTTATCTATCCAATATTTTTTAAAAGATTTTGTAAAATTTACGCTTCACAAGGCGCCACACGCCAGATAGGACCTCTTGTGCTTAGCACAACGGCATGATAATTCAAAATGAAAAATCTACTCCCGCTCCGGGTTCAGTTCATGCTTTGCGCGCACTGGAGTTACCAACTTAGCGGATATGTAGTGACGTGTCGGTAATTACGTGGCATTCGAAACCACATAGAACCACATGTTTTAATGCTTACCGACTGGCAACAAAGCCTCTCAAAAATCATCCTGCTTTTAAGATTAACACGCATGCTTCCCTGTATATTTTACGTACCACTGATGTACAAAAATATTTTTTGTGACGCAATCAAATGATGAAGTAATGGGTCCTGCACTTGCTTCTAATACTGTAGTTTTTATAGACGTTTTTGACGTTTGAAATGACCCGGAGCGTTGCATGTAAACTTTGTTTTGCCAGATGTCATGTTAACCACAATTGCTCAAAAGGTGGAATGGCCCCTTTAAATGAAATTTACGTCCATAAAAGCCTCATTCTGCCTATAAAATCACCTGATGTCTCACATTCCTCATCCTTAGGCAAGTCGTTGCCACATGATAGATATCGAGCATACCTACATACGCGCGGACGAACGCTTTCATTTTAAGTACCAGGGAGTCCGCAGACACGGCGAGTTTTGCTTCAGCTGACAAAAATTGCCAGCCTACGTGGTCCGCCCCGGTCCGGGCTAGCCCTGTCTTAAAGCTCCTGCGACCTAATATATTTGTATAAACCGACCGTGGTCCATGCAGTGCTTAACGATGACAAGTGCAGTTCTTGAAAAGTTACACCAGTGCTCATCTCTGGATGTTTCTGTGCTGGGTTCAGGTCCCGGCCTCACCACGGCCGAATTCCATATGATACTTAATAAAGGTACTCATCATGAAATGCCCCTGGCAGTGAGCACTCAGCCGGTCGGATAAGCGTTTTGCATGAAAACAAAAAGTTAAAATGTTCTAATTGCGAAACATGCATACACACAGGTCAAAACCCATATGATGCCCATACCAGCTGGCCCAGCAGCCGCATCAGACCGACGCATTTGGAAAAATAAGAGCATGGATAGTCATGCTGAGAACAAACTTAATTGACACATGCAATCGTCCCGAGCACTTGAACGTTAATGGTGATATATTCATTCCATCCCCATACGCTCAGAGTCAGGTCCAGACTACTGGCCCGGCCTGGGTCTGCACACAGGCCGACCTGACCGACGCCAGCAGCTTCACACCACGTGGCCGGCCGCGGCTGCCGACAAAGGTGGCGTTCGCATGACGCCCTTAGCGTGTGTACTTAACACCGCCCCAATTAGCTGAAAGCACATGTGCAACACATTTCTGCGAGGAAATGGCGACATTCAAAAACACACTTATATATTTAATTAAGGGCTCATTCCAACGCTCAACGAGGCCTCAAAGCTTGTAAGGACAGAAAGGTCAAGAAATAGTTACATCACATCACATTACAGCTGCAGACTGGCTACCTCAGGTTAAACGTCATACAAGGTTTCGATGGTATACAAAAAGTAATAGCACTCTTCTGGCATGCGGCACTAAATTAACTCGAGCGCATCAAACGGACCAGTGCAATCGGGGAGGCAGCTTCGGATCTCTCGGTACTGTGCGGCACCAGAGCTGGAGGTAACTGGGCACCTTGGGGGGGCGGAACCTGGAGTAGTTCATTACACGGCAGCAGTCACCTCATTCACAGCAGCGCTCGCTATGCACACAGTCCTCAAAGTTTCAGCCAAACGAGGCCAGGCGGTAAAGTCGTCCGGTAATATCAAGCCCGCCGAGAGCTGGAGAGCTGCGTGAGAGAGTCGCCCCAGCGGCTTCCATTTTGCTGAGAGCGTGCCCCCCCCCCCCCCCCACCCACCCCCCACCCCCACCCACCCAACTTATGCAACTATCTATAGGCATCCATAATTTTATAGGTGCACCGCCCACCCCTGTAAAAGCCATTTCCATTGGCATGGCTAACACTAGCAAGACGTTATCATCATTACTTCCACGTGACGTGTAAATGCAGCGTGGCAACGGCCTAACAACCTGGCCGCCCAGTATCAACGCCAGGCCCACGGAGGTAGACCGGGATCGAGCCCGGCTCACTCACTGTCCAGTGGTGGATTCTGGTTCCCTTGCTCGTCCCTCAGACGCCGCGTACTCTCATCCAGTGCGTCCTGCTTGTGTAGGTCGTAATGCTCGAAGAACAGGTCCACCTCGCCGTCCGAGAAGTTGCACCTGGGTGCCAGAGATGCGGAGGGAGGATTGAGGGAGCGCCAGAGATGCGTGACATAGGATTGAGGGAGGCGTGACTCAAGCAGACTAAGCCGCGCCCCTCATTACCAACAGCTGTCGATAAGTTGCAGCTTACGACGTCAGCGGTGGGTGCGTCACAACAGCTCGTACAGCTTGGAGGATGGTTGCTCGTGTACGATGTAAGTACATGCGACGTGATAGGTAGCATCTCAGGCATGTACATATGCCAGTGGATGACGTATGCCAGGAGTACGTAAACCAGGACGTATGCCAGTGGGTGACTGAGCAGCCACATGGTGCAAACCACCAGCCACAAACGCAGCCACATGATTTCGCCCCGTCCAGTCACCCTCGCAAACGCAGCGCTCGCGGTGCGCTCCCTACACCCGAGCAAATCCGTTAGGACGGCTTAGCAACGCCTCTTTAACAGCACCACAGCAAGACCGGAAAGCGGTTACGGTCGCGTTCGAAATACGCATTCAGCAGCTTAATCTGACTTTTAGGCTATAATATTCTGAAGCTTGGACCATTTGTACCGCATCATTGCTAGCACTATTGCATGAGCGACTCTACTGTTCTTTGATCATGAACAGAAAACAGCCTAAGAGGTGACGGTGTTCGTATGACGCTGCTATGACGTCACACATGCCTGGGTGACCTAGGAATAGTATGCACAAAATGGCACAAAATAATATGCACATTTTCGCGGCTTGACAGCCGCGAAAATGTGCATGCTATTACCCAAAACCCTCAAGAATCGGAGGGTTTTGGACCTCAGCCGAATACATAGGTCTGGAACTAAAAAAGGTATGTATATATATATATATACATATATATATATATATATATATATATATATATATATATATATATATATATATATATATATGGAACAAATGTGGAACACTCCGTTCAACATTAAAGCGAAAGACCCTCGCTGGCTGGCGCTTAGTGGGAATGTGCCTTCTTTTATTCCAACTATGTTGGCCATTCCCTCCTGGGTCATTGAGTCACACGTATGCCACAGCGAAATAAGGCGCGGCGCAGTCAGTCGTGATCACTTACGTCTTCATGGTCTCTCGAATTTCCTCAAACGGGTAAGTACCGTCACTGTTTGCTTTAGCCAGCTTGAGAGCGTTCTCCATGTCGATCATTTTGTCACGCTTGCCCAACTTGCCTGAAATTTCAGTAGGCATATGTCAGATGCCGTTAACAACACGTAAAACGCTGCCGAGGTTTGCAAAGGTGACCCAACACTGCCCGAACAGGCACGGTTTCCGTTCTGCCTCAACACGGAAAGTTTCCTTACACAAGACATACACAATCTGTGACAGGTTAAACGCGGCTGCATGCAGCTTGCTATGATTGCGGTTCAGAAGTTGTTTTTTTAGAATAACTGAATTTAGCGAGATATGAGCTAAGCAGCCTATGTTCATAATATATGAGTAGGAACGAAAAACATAAACCATTTCATCAACCAACATCCCTTCAGTTGGTTCTAAAAACCGACCGAGAGGTTACCGCAGAGCCAGCGATGACTTGTGAACAAGCAAGGGCTATCGGACACTAGTTATGTACACTAGTCACGAACTCTAGTTAAGAATGAGTGGGCGGCCTTGGTCATCACCATCAAATTAACACTCTATCAATGTTCTTAGTCGCCTGTTGTTCACTGCAGACAATACACAAGGTCTCACCTAGCACGTTATTGTAACCGCGCCTCAAGTAGTCGACGACTTCAAACTCGTTCTTGTGAGCTGTTACATCGTTTTTCACCTCGCTGTATGTGTCGTTGATGATGGCCAAGAACATGTTCTGTGGAGGAACACTAACGGCTCAGTAGTCCGTTCTTGGCAGGCCACGATGACACGCGCGCGATAGACTTTTTCGAGCACTTCACGCATCTGCCAGGAGACAAGCTCTTCCAGATGCGCCGAAACGCTAAACAAAGCCTGGGCGGCTCTTGAAAGAAAAATGATGCATGGACAGCCAGCAGTACTTTCGGCAAAATGGAACGACACA